TGATTATCGCCTTTCAATCCCTCTCTCGACTTGGAATTACAAGGGGTTGTACCCGGAATTCTACTATCTAGATATTGACCTCAGGTCTACCAATCACAATGCCGAGCCTCTTCTCGCGAATAAGGGGCAAAGATGGCTCCAAATCCAAGTCCAAGAAAAATGCCAACCTAAACGATTTGACACACCAATTACCTAACAAACCGCGATGGGATGATGCATATACGAGGACGACGGTAGAGCCCGAGGAGATTCAAGAACTAGTTAGACGTTGTACGGAGGAGATCAAAGCTAGAGGTATGAATATGAATAGAATGTTTCCTGCAAAATACGGTGAAGCTAGACTAACATATTCTTGATGCGTAGCCCTTGATCACCCGTTTCTTCTTCTCCCATTCCGCCCGACTTCAGATCCTAGCGCCGTGCGCACCTTTATCCGCCACTTTTTCGATGACAATCAGAATTTGCATGGGGAGGCCCTCGCGCAGGAGCTGCGGATGACCGAACCTATGGTACGTTTTGCCAAATCAAAGTGTGTTTGTTTATAGGTTTACAGGACAAGTGCTAACATACGATCAGGTCATCTCTGGCGTTCTTAAATGGTGCTGGAGCAGACTGCAAGGTGGTGTTGTAGGCTGGGATGCCTACGAGCTATTCAAGGTCGGAGAACAAGGTATGACCAACTGATTCGGCGGAGAAGGGAGATATGAAAGGACATGCTAACGTGTTGACTTCTGGCGCAGATTCGAGCATGGCCCGCGATTCGTTCTCGACTTTTATCCCGTTGAGTGTCGAAAACCAGGCACGTTCCCATATTATCTTCGACTATTTCGATCTACTCTCAGCCATTGCCGCTCATGGCAAATCCAACGGCTTCGGTGGTCGTAAGCTATCTCGTATGGCGGCATGGTGGGCCTTCGAACACAAGGACACCGGCAATGGCTTCGAGGGAGGATACAAGTCTTGGTTGAGGTTTGCGCACCCCTTGGAGTCAACTCGTTTGTTGATATAAGCTCACTGACCAAATTCTAGCGCTGCGGATGCGACGAGCCACATGTTCTTCGCTTATCTGAGGTCCTTGTCTCCCCAACAAGCTCGTGCAGGTATCTCGATGCTCCCCATGTCCTTGCAGAAGCTGCTGCAGGAAACCGAGTATCCCCCGCAAGCGCCATCCTTGATGATGTCATCAACATATAAGGTGGTGATGATAGTCGATACTGTGTCTCCGACCCCCTTTGCGCTCTTGCGACGTGCTAATCACTTCCAATATCGCGACGACGACCAAGCACTTCGAGACTTTTCCGAATACGAGGATCCCGTGACAGCTCTAACTGAGGAATGCCGCAGAGTCCTTAAGGCGATATCTCTTGCGAATCAGTCTCAAGTGTCTACTAATTCCAAGACTTCGACCAGTCTTCGAGATGCTTCGTGGTCGCGATTCGAAGATATTGGTTTTGGAGATACCTTGGAGGAAGAGGAATTGGACGACGAAACCGTCAAGCTGAACCATTCATCTCGAAATCCTCGTGGATTGCGAACTACTCCTGCATCAGTCGCAAATCTCGGAAGACCAACCACACCCTCTTGGGCAGACTTCTTATCGTCTGGATTTGTGGATGATTCGCCAAACAGCCCCACAAACCTCCTGCTTCCTCCGGATAAGATCCTACCGCCTATCGAAACAGGTATGAGGCAACGAAGTTCGCAATCGCATCGCCCGCGACTAGAAAGCGACCGTCATCTAGAACCTGGTGAATTAGCTAGTATCTCACGGTTCGATCTCGACGATGCATTCTGGTGGGTATGGATGAGCAGCTTGGCCCCGGAGGAGACGGCAGAACGCAAGTCTGCGTTTGGAAGATGCGCCGTCGTCGAGACCCTCATTCGCTCTGGCCGGTGGCTTGTATGGGAGGAGATGCTGAAAGGAGCTGCGCCTGAGCCTGATGCTGGGGCCTATATCGCAGAGAAGAAGGGCTTCTTCAGCTGGACGAGGCGTAGCAAGGTCTCACGCAGCAAATCCACCTCGAAACCGCCGTCTGCCAGGAATGATCACTTGACTCCTGGTGTCAATACTGGTGTTGGTGCGAGCAAGACAAGCATAGGGCCCGACCAGCATGCCAAGATCCAGGCGGCTGCACAGAAGCTCCAGGCCAAGCAACTCCAAGAACAGCAGATCAGTCCTAGAGCGGAACGACGAGGGCGAACCGATGCTGATGTGATGAGAGAGAAGACCAATAGCATTCTAACCCTTAATCCGGGTGTTATGAATGTGGCTTCACCGGCTATGAAATGGGCAAACAAGTACGACAAGGAAGCTATTCGCGAGGCATATCTCGGCAACTCGTTTGCCGGTCGTGGCACATCTCAATTGTCGCTACAGTCTACCCAACTTCCAACGAATGGATTTCCACAGAATGGCAATGGCCTTAAGCCAGTTACTCCAGAACGTTCTCCATCTCCGGCCCTAATTCAACGGCCACCCGAACCCGTGGCAAAATCTCCGGTGCAAAACCCTACGCCCGCCCCTGGTCCGGTTCCTGAGAAGAAGCCTGAAGCCCCGCAACCTATTCATACCGCTGAACGATTCGAGCCTACAGGACGAAATTCGCCGTTGCCGCCCACTCCTCGCGAAGACAGCATGGAACAAGCTCGGGAAAATATGATTTCCCCTGTTCTGACGAGTAGCCCCGACAACAAGAAGCACAAGAAGCTTCACAAAGATGAGAAGAAATCTGGTGGCGGCTTCAGAAAGCTATTTGGTCGGAAGAACCGACAGTCTAAGCTGCCTGAAAATGCTGCTGCTGACGTGAACGGCATGCTAGCTGCGGATTCAGCCCAGGCCCCTGCTGCACCACGAGCTCCTTCTCCAGCGCCGGTCGCAAACCAACCAGATCATGTTCCCTCGAAACCTGCCGCAGAGCCTACCCTCGAAGCACCGGCAGAACGAGCCGAAGAGAGGACACCCACGCAAACACCGGTGACACCAACGCCCGTTAGAACATACGATCCGTCTATTGACGAGGACTTGTCTCGTGTCGATACTGCGGATGCAGCGGAGGCTAACCAAGCCTTCTCTCGCTTTGACCAGGGTCCTCTCCTAGACCAGCCTGCGTTCATTCCCGAGGATGATCAAAGCATCGACTCAGCCGCGCCGCCCCCGATCGCCAGGCATCCTAGCAACCATCCTCCTATTGAGGAAGATGATGAAGAAGAGGGTGCACCATCACCGAGCGTTCCGATGCAGGATCGATGGGCTGCCATTCGAAAGAATGCTGCCGATCGCGCCGCACGACAGAGTGAGGAGCACAGCCGAGGTGCATACAGCAAGACCACGGATGGTGATGACGACACTAGTGGTGAAGAGAGTAAGGACCATCCATTCCCCCATGCATAGTGATCTAACCGCTAACATTCTGGTATAGCCATCGAGTCCCGCGTCGCTCGCATCAAGGCTCGTGTCGCCGAACTAACGGGTAACATGGAAAGCTCGACTGGACCCAGTACTCCTCCTAACCGCCGCTAGAGGCGGTGTTTTAGATGACGACGTGGGTGTGGCACTACATGAATCACCCAGAGTCGCTTCTCCTTCCCTCTAGTAGTATTCGGCACGTCGACGTCGAAAATGATCCTTAATATGCTGGTTTTTAGCTCTTTTTAATTCAATGATACCATTAGAACATGCCGTCTCATGTTTCTTCCACGACCAGAAACCAGACTGCGATCCGATTTTTTTTCATTAATTTAGCGTTTGACCTCCGATGCCAAACAAACAAGCTAACTACACTTGGGATTTCCCGGAAGGTCAGCAGCTATTCGGTCTCTTAGTAAAATTCGCTCCGAGGCGACAGTGGGAGGGAGGTATAGCTTGGCTATGGACCGGGGTTTCTTCGGTTGCTGTTGCCCTTGAGCAAAGAAAAACAAATAATAAAGTCTTTACAACACAAAGTAATACGTTTCGATTGTTTCCGGCCTTTTTTCGAGTTCGAGGAGTAATGAGACGTACGTATTGAGAGGGGTGGGAGATACCCATTCGCGCAGAATAAGGGGGGGAAGAGCTTGGAAGATACCTAGGTACTTTGTTTTCGCAGGAAATGCCAACGCGTTTTTCTCTCGACTTGATTTTTCTTCTCTTCGATGCCATTTTGGAAGTGCTGGATTGTTGTTCTTTTTTCTTCGACGTGTGGCTTGCCGCATAAGTTACTGCCAGCCAAATTTTTTTTTTTTTTTTTTGCTCTCCGAATAAGGAGCAAGCCAAGTAAATCGAGAGCATACCCGGGCTCGGCTTGAGATCGGGAGTTGACGGGGTCGGAACACTTTACATACCACTACTGCTTACGGTGAGTGTGGATCATGCCAATACAAACATTGTGTGAAATCCTATACTATTTCTTTACGTTCCGTGCCTGGTGAGCGGTGTTTTTAGGAGTATCAGGAGCATTTCCATGGGGATTGCGTGGCTCGTCACTTGAAGAACTGGCCTTTCCTTACGGTCGTGAATCAAACAGGGCCTAAGGAATCTAAGGATTTAACCTGGAAATGAACATCATTAGTAATAGGGGTCACGTATTAATCGAGAGCAGCTCTGACTAGTTCTACTAAGCCACTCGTATTACATAGATCCATTGCTGTATTGCAGTTGCATGCATCACCAATTACCTCGTAACGACGAGGACATGCAGCTGCGGGTGAGCAAGGAAGCATTAAGTACTCCGTATGCTTTTCAGACTCTGGTTGTACTGAATACATAGAAGCACCGTCTCCTAATTCCCTATGTGTTCGCAATTCGCCATCACGATTAGCTACCTAGGTACGTACCTGTGTACGAGTCTTACAAGTCCTATCGCAATCGTCTCTGCGATATCAGAAGCGCCGCCCCGCCGCCTACTGAGGTTGTTTTACCAGAGCAAACGAAGTCTAGGTAGGTAGGTAGGTAGCTATTTAATCGGTGGTACCGTCTTCGCTACTACCTTCTTCGTACCTAACAGTTAGTCCGAGTTTGTTAGGATGGCTTGGGTGAGTGGTCTGTACCGTAGAACTAGAAGTTCTATCCCTTCGTGGGCGTCGGTTCGAATCCGGCAGCTATCTTCTCTTTTCTTTTTTCTGTCGTGAGAGATATTTGTCAATGGTAAATGTCATGAACGCGATGTACTCCCCTGTTTAGGTAATATGAGATCCATTTAAGAAAGATTGTCAGGGGACATCCTTATAATCTCGTCCGGCGCCGAAAGGAAAGATCATCTTTGATTAGATTATATGCCGATTTTCAATGATGAAGACAGCAATGTGCTTAACATACTTTAGCGACTATGTTCTAGCTTCGCACGTTAAGATGGTAGAAGCAATTAGATTGCTACAACATGATGGTACTATGGCGGTACATTGTCATTGTCATCGTTGTCTATAAGTACATGCCTACGAGGGATGTTTGGCCTAGGCTTTACAGTCTACTTACGGGTTCGAATGCCTTCCAAGGACCGTCCTTAATATAGCAACAAGTCTGATCTCCATCTGGGTATATATCATCAAATTATAGCGCTTGTTATTGTTGAGATATTTAAAAAATCAAAAATACAAAAAAGAATTGGCCGACTAAGGAATCGAACCCCAGAGTCTAGCGGACAGGTTGTAGGACGGGTCTTAGGTGAGAGTCTAAGAGCTGTAGGTAAGGATATCGGAAGAGGAGGATATGCCGCTAGACCATACCAATCCGACCTGTGGTCTTTCTTGGGGGTCCTACTATCATCTTTCCTTATATGTGTCTCTCTTACGCGGGTTTAGGTTGGTACTCGGCTGATATGTAAGGTGTGCAGTGGCTGGCTTTGGTAGGACTTCGACGGTAGGGAGTTTGGTGAACTCTATTCAGCACGGGGACACTTCACTTGCAGGTACTCGTTGGTCGGAGGGCTACTTAAAGCACATATGAACAGATACCACGATCATGATAGTTGATCTGCTCTAGCCGGGTCACGAGAGCCGGGGTGAACGGTTGAAAAGGCGGTGGGTGGACTGTCGGGGTCGTGAATAGGGGGAGTTGATGATGCGTGATGGTAGATAGCCTATCTAGGGGACACCTTAGCTTGTGCGTAGGCCGATTTACGGTTTCGTTTCCTGGTAGAGTCCCTCGTCTCCCCCAGACTCGGAGCATTACGCGTTCGTATAGCCTCAAGCATGGTACATCTGATCAGACTGTCTGTATAGTAACTAGGTACTTGGCCACCAGCCACAGCTTCGACCTAACTTAACTCAATCCGCTCCCCGTCGATCGTGAAGCTGCGGCCTGGTTTAAGCCAGATCTACCTAGAGCTCAGAGCACAATGATCGGTATTCAGGAGACAAATCCTACAGCAGTAGTCGGCGAGCTCGCGGTAACTCGGTCATGTATGTATGTCTCAGACTGCCTTGACGTATATTATGCGGAGCCTAGATGGTGAGACGAGATATTGGCTACTATCCAATGGCATGATGATGTAATAGCAATATATCGAGGTGACACGACAGCGCTTGGCTGTAGGGCTGAACGTCCACGTCGTACAAACACAAGCAAAAGCGAAAGCGAAAGAGGAGATCGACAGAGCTCCGCCATCTCGGTTCCCGTGTCGTTCAGCTGGCCCGGGTTCGTAGGTACTCTCTCGAGTCTCTGGCCTTCTAGGACCTTATCGGCGGTACAGCCACGACGATCGCAGAGTTTGGACGGTGAGTTGGTATCTGGACTTGAACTCGGTCTCGCATTTTAGAGATGGACAGAATGGAGACACCGAGACGCCACGGCGGAAGAGGAGCTCCGTGTCGATCTCTAGAATCGCGTTCAGCCTTGCGCCTTTGCGGTTTCATGCAGAACCCGATTTTCCCTTAAATCCCGTCCCGTCTCTCTGCGCCCATTGCTATTTGCCATTCGCCATAATCTAATACGAACAAAGTGTCAAGCCTCTCAAGCCACGATCGATTAGAGACGGCAGAGTGATACCGAGAGTGAAAGCCACGGATCAGCCACCGACTCTACCGGTCTGGACGGTGCGTATCAGCCAATCTGCGAGATGAGACAGGTGGCTTGCGAGAAGGGTTCCGGTAGGTGGGTGGGTGGTAGCATAGTGAGTGCATCGTGTCGTACTACATCGCAAGTGAAACCTACCTGTGAGGTGTGTGTCTCCTTGATACTAGTTATATTTCCTTTATCTCGCTAGGTAACCTAGTGAATAGTAGACTGGCAATAGACAGTAGACGTCAGCCGCGCTCTCGCGCTTGCGCTTATGCTTGCGGCTATGTGAACAGCCTGGTCTGGCCCGGTCCCGTGGAACGAGACACTCGATAGCTCAGCCCTACGCCGAGTTGCTCGGTCGGACAGAGCTATGTCATGTCCGTCTGCGGCGCGCCGGGCTAGTCGCATTAAGGTACCCAGGCACAAGATGAAAGGGGTGACACATGGCGTGGCACAGGGCGCGATGCACGACATATCTGACCTGCAGCCGCTCGCAACGTGCGCAATAGCCTGTCTCTAGCTTGGCAGCAGGGAGGGACTGGCAGCAATCAAGTAATCAGAGACAATTAGGTATGAGCGGCATGCAGGTCTGAGACAAGCAGGCCACCACTTACGCAATCTGCGCAATGCACCAATGGGCCTGACCAAGTGTTGGGGGCCAATTGAACTTTCTCGATCAGGAATCATAGATACCCTACTAGTTAGGATCCTAGGTAAATAAGGTAGGTCCCTACATGGAGGTAGGCCGTCCACATGGCCGCCGCTCCGCCTTGCTTCCTTCCTTTCCAACCGGCCGGGATTGCTCTGTCTCTACGAGTCCGTCTTCCGCTCCTCTGACGGGGCGGAAAGGGCCACGGCATACCGAATACGGCGATTGCGAACTGCAACTGCGACTTTGAGGCGACGGCTGAGTGGAGAATCGACATGTAGTGGATTCAGGGTCAGACGCCGTACCTGACTACGGATTAGACTAAGGAGCCTAGATCCATACGCCATGGATGGTCGAAATGCCCATCTAATAGCCTATAGCCTATACAAGCCAGCAAAGGATTGATGCCATCGTGGTTCGTCGTACGATAAAAAGCGCTCCTGCGGGCTGCGGGCCTTGGGAGGGGAGCTCGGCATGTGCCTTGCCCAGCTCGAGCTGAAAAAAAGTTGAATGTTGATCCCCACCGTAAGGGGTTCTAGATCTAGACCAGGGGTCTTGCCTTGAAAAAGAAAGTCCCGAGGTGGCTGTCATCGCGTCATAGCTTACCTGTAGGATTCGGATAGCTACAGTGCTAATGGTCTGAATCCTTCACGGAGCACCCATGGATCCTAGGTAATGTCGGCGCTTGGTCGGTATCTAGTATGGCGCCATCCATCTACTGAGTTCTTACCGAAACAATCAAGCTACCAGGGGTTCATTATCACAAGATTTTGAACATCAAGGTCACAGGAACTGGAGGAACGACGATAGTAGTTTTCCAAGGTTTCAATGCGCAATTCTTCATTCGGGTAGTCTGGTCACGTCCATTCCACCTCTGGTATCTCTACTAGTGTACAAGTCCCCATCCCGCCCATCAAACGCCGTCCCGATGTCTGTCGTCTCTCGAGTAATAGGCCCGTCTCAAACTTTTCCCGCGGATGGAAAATGCAAACGCAGCTATAGCTTTAACCACAAATTCCATTATCTCATTCGTCGTGCCCGTCTCGGTGTAAAGCAAAACGCAACATTTGTCGCGGCCGTATGAAATAAGTTTTGGGCTTGACATGAAAGCAAAAAAAAGAATGAAGCAAAAGTAAACCCAATGATGATGAATAAACGCCTCTGAGCGCCACGCCATGCAGCGAAACGAATAAAAAATGCATGGCGCAAAACTAACGAGCGAATGCGCCGCAAGTTGAAGTTATAGCCAGCATATATGCTAGATAGAAAGCAGAAATGAAGGTATCCAGATTTCTCGTCGTAAAAACCGAGTGCAGTATTGTCCTTCGATGCTCTATGTTGTTGTACAGTCGCAGGTAGCGATATAAACATGAAATGGTAGAACTATAGCCATCCAGAAAGCTACCATGAAAGGCGAGGCATAGCGGTTAACCGTCGACTCTAATTCTCTTAGGCTCTCCGCCATCCGGTCCATCTGAACCGGAGCCGTTGGTTATATCCGGGCTCTTTCGCTTCGTAGCGCTCGATCCATTGTCGTCCCTTAGAAAGGATGGACCCAAACCGACCGGCGTAGCGAAATTTAGAGGGCTGGGGAGTGTATTGCTGTCGCTACCCCGAAAATTCCATTCGGGATAGAAAGTGCTAGGACTAGGTAAGAATTCATTGTTGAGGAACCGGGATGGGAGTGCCGAAACAGGTGTGTCGATGTTCATATTGTTGTTCTGAGTCTGCGGGTGAGGTCTAGCGAACGGATTCGGAGGACCTGTAGCTCCCGCGGACAGCATAGCTGAGGCAGATGGAGAAGGAGGCGGAAGCACTACACCCGTTCCAGGTCCTTCTGTCCCGTTTCGGCGCGCCGATTGAGCAGTAGCATCTGTGGTGGTGCGAGGAGAGGTGCCCGTATCGCCAGCATTGCTACCGGCGTCAGACTGTTCCTCGGGAATTTGGACCTTTAGACGAGGCCGCGCCCCACCGCCCACCTTCAAGCTATTGGAGCGGGAAGGCGGTGTAAAGGTAGTCTCGGGGATTGTAGGGATGGAATTACGGGAATTGGGTAGATTGGAGGTATTAGAGCGCTGTGGAATAGGCGGGGATGAGTCAGGTTTGGATCGCGATACAGCGCCGACATCTACGGATTGTGATCGATTAGTCCCATCATCTTTGTTGGCGTGAAACGACGCTAGATGCTGAGATAGGATCGACCGGTTCTCGTCAATTGGCGTGAAGATGCTGTGCTGCTTGCGCTGCGGCATCTTCTTAATCGCAGATGCCGTATCCAGGAAAGGTTGACCTACTCTCTCCTGAGGTTGATCCTGCCTCGGCTCCATGGGCGCAGGCGGCTGTTGCGGCTCCGGAGGCGGTTGTGACAGAGACGGTAGCCCGTGCGGTGGCTCCAAATGTTGAGGTGGCGGCTGCGGAGGCGACATCTGAGGAGCTTGTTGTTGCGGAGGCACTTGATGA